TCGATTAGTTTCGATGAACCTAACAACGCTTCCTTAAAGGGATCAATTTAGAAGAACCTAGCAAGATTTATTTTAAGGGATCAGTTTAGAAGAACCTAGCAAGACTTCCTTAAAGGGATTAGTTTAGAAGAACCTAACAACGCTTCCTTATAGGGATCATTTTAGAAGAACCTAGCAAAGCTTCCTTCAAGGGATCAGGTTAGAAGAACCTAGCAAGATTTCTTTTAAGGGATCAGTTTAGAAGAACCTAACAACGCTTCCTTATAGGGATCATTTTAGAAGAACCTAACAACGCTTCCTTCAAGGGATCAGGTTAGAAGAACCTAGCAATATTTCTTTTAAGGGATCAGTTTAGAAGAATCTAGCAAGGCTTCCTTAAAGGGATTAGTTTAGAAGAACCTAACAACGCTTCCTTATAGGGATCATTTTAGAAGAACCTAAAAACGCTTCCTTCAAGAGATTAGGTTAGAAGAAACTAGCAAGGCTACCTTAAAGGAATTCGTTTAGAAGAATTTAACAACGCTTCCTTAAAGGGGGCAGTTTAGAAGAAATCTAACAACGCTTCCTTAAAAGGATCAGTTTAGAAGAACCTAACAACACTTCCTGAAAGGGATTAGTCTAGAAGAACCTAGCAAGATTTTTTTTAAGGGATCAGTTTAGAAAAACCTAGCAAAACTTCCTTAAAGGGATTAGTTTAGAAAAACCTAACAATGCTTTCTTAAAGGGATCAGTTTAAAAAACCTAGCAAGGCTTCCTTAAATGGGTGAGTTTAGAGTAAACCTAACTTCCTCAAACAGATTAGTTCTTTAATTCTGTCAGGAATTTTCATCTTTATAAGATGTTAACCAAGCCATCAGTTGAACGTGCTATTAAATTTTATCGTTTACGTTCAGTTTCCTCCATGTTTATTATTTTATGCAAACGTTATAATTAGTTTCTGTGTTATTATGTAATATAGACTTACGATATTAATTTCCTTCTTTTATTATTGCATCAGTTTAAAAAGAGTTAAGTTTTAGCTGCATTTAACCTCAGTGGCTGTAAATGGAAAAGTTGCAGATTCAGTTTATAGGCAAGAGCATTTTCTGACGTTCTTTTTTACCTTCAGTTTTACCTTTCCCATCAGACCTTTCTTTTTTGCCTCTGTGAGCATGTTTTCAACGTTCCGAACTGGCAAGACTTATCAAAAAGATCTTTTTGTTCATTTGAACTCTGCACAACAAATATTTAAATCCTCGATATCAGTTTGCCAATCTGTAGTTATTCTTCACAAAACTGTAATGCAACCTCGAAAAAATTAAATATTTAATTACTCCACATGATTAAGATTTGCTCCTTATCTTAAAAGATTGGCTTTACAAAGTTAATTACTCCACATGGTTAAGATTTGCTCCTTATCTTAAAAGATTGGCTTTACAAAGTTAATTACTCCACCTGGTTAAGATTTGCTCCTTATCTTAAAAGATTGGCTTTATAAAGTTAATTACTAATTATTCCACATGGTTAAGACTTACGTTTGCTTTTCCTTTCTTTACAAGAAAATAAAAAAACGTTTCAAAATAGGAAATAAATACATAGATGGCTAATATCAATCCTTCAAATACAATACAAAAACGTAGTTGGGATGGTATTTTCATCATACCTACATAATAGAACAGGCACACACAGTGTAGTAGAATGTTAACAGAGAAAAATAGGATAAATTAAAGTTAATTGTGATTGAACAGTTATGTATACTGCTATAAATATGTAGGGATGATACAAATGCCATCCCTACTAGATAGCATTGTTTTTGAAGGATTGATTTTTGCCATCCCTACATTTATTTCCTTTTTAAAAAATATCTTAACATGTTTGCAGGTTAACTTGTTTAATGAAAATTTTCAATAGACATAGGAAGGTTGTATTTATAACCAAGTTCTAAATACACTGATGTTCCAACTGTAATATCTATTATTGGCTGGTAATTCCTGTTTCACCCTGTATTTAAGCTTTTTAATAGAACACCAAATTTCTGTTATAAAGCTAACTGCAAGGGGTGATCATAATATAGTTTACACTGGAATTATGATTTTTTTAAATTACTATTACTTAATAATACTTATAAAAACGGATATTCGCTTTGAAACTATGTCACCTCAGTGAATTTGTTTAACACTATTGTTTTGGTTTAGAGTTATCATGTAGTCAAAAAGAAGCAGAAGAAGGAAGAACAAGAAATTCAAACTTTTTGCTTTGATATTTGCAGACATTCCCAAAAGTTGTGACTCAGTCATTAAATATATATTGCTATAAAAGGAAACACTGTATAGTATTGTAAAGCTCTGATAACCTAATGAGGATATATTTGAATACTGTTACGTATCTGCTTGTTTGTTAATTTCCGGTAGAATTTCTTTCCGAGGATCTTCAGCGAATACAAGTCCTTTCTTGATTAAACCAGTGTATTATTTCTCGATACAGACTTTTAACACGCAGTAATTCCACTGCCAGTACGTTTCTCGTTACTTTAAACTTAACAACTTTTATGATACACGTTATAAACCACAGCGATTCACAATCTCGATAACTTCGCCCTAAACTTACCGTGTCCACTGTTCGCTTTATCATACATTCATTTTCGCAGGATTTCTCTGCCAGGGTTATATACTAAAAAAGAGAGCGTCTCGAACAAACTCGTGCTTACTCGACAAATCATGATCATTCGAAAAATTTCACGCACGCTACCAGCGCCAAACGCGCCAGCAGCGTCACGTGCCTTCAGCTGTCGTAACAATACCATTTCGATGAACAATCCGAGCCACCCCTACCGTCTGTATGATAGATGAAAAGCTTGCTAATTCGTATGCTTCGACTGCAGCAAACGTATCTCCCACTCTCTCTTTTTTATAGTGTTCTTTTCCTCTTTCTGGAAAGTGTAGAGATTTTGTCTACGGTGTTTTTATTTAAGTATGGAAAATACGTTCAATTTTGAAATTTAATTTGGTTTAGTTGTTGTTAAGCGCAAAGCTACACAATGATCTATTTGTATCGAAACCCGATTTTTAGAGTGGTAAGCATGCAAATTTACCGCTGAGCCAACGTGAACTGGTTTTAAGCTTCCTTTCAATTAGAAAAAAATATGTTGATTAATGTTAGCTAATAAAAATTTTGGAATAGATACTACACAAGTTCATAATAATAAGATGCGTAACAGAAATATGTTCACGACCTTTTATTCTTAATACTTTAACATTGATATTTTCCCACTATTGTTTTATTTCAGATGGCATCAAAAATTTTAATTTCAAGCGTTTGCTTACTGTCACTTGTGATCCTGGTCGTTTCTCTACCGACTTATGGGGCTCAGAAGCCTGTGGATTTTACTTACGAAGAAATTAATCCTCCACAGCTTCCTCGTAACGTCATTAGTAATAAGTGTTCTATGAGAAGTGCCCACCGCGCCCTCTGTGAACGATGTGCCAAGACCGTTGACAGCACGGAGGTGTATATAAAATGCTGTAATGGAGTAGAGAAAGTTGAAAACTGGTGCTATAAGTTTCTGACGTACAACTTAAACTTTATATAGCTATGACAACTCTCTTGCATAACGGTAACTGATAACAGTAGCGAATTTCGGACAGATCTGCCTGTCATATTTCTAAAGTAGCTTTCTTCTTATGAACTTTAAACAACACAAAACTTTGCATTTAACTTTCTATAAGTATCGTCTAAAAAGGTTCTTATAGCTTTTAAACAGTAATTCGAAACATTCGTGTCAGCATGCTTTAAGTTTGTCATTGTTAAACCGAGTGTATTGCAAGGGCAGGTTCAAATACTTCCAAAACATTCCAGTTAGGCTTAACGTTACAGTTGTTAATTTATTGTAGTTATTTATTATAAACGTTCTTCAGTAAATACATATTTTGAATAAATCTTTTTTTGTTTGTTTCAAACGAGTTTCTTTCTTTTAAACAACCTTAAACCTCATTGTAATACCTGTAATAATGTTACAAATTTGTTCAACTCGAAATGAAAATAAGTGACACATTCGTAGTGATTTTGTTATATTCGTATACACTCCGGTTCGACGTTCAGATGCTGTAGATTAGCAATGAAATAAAAATAATAAAACCTCTGTTATGAACTAGATGGGAACAATATTTTTAATCAGTGTGAAATATGACTTTGTGTTGTTTTTTTATGTATATAAACACGTTTGTATACGTTTTCATTCCGAAAGATATGTTACGTCTCCGTTCGTTAGTTAATTTTCCGTAAATTCGTTCCGACGAAACTTTAGCGACACAAGTCCTTTCTTAAATAAAACTGGTTTATTCTTTCTGAATATAACTTTGCGATACAATTAATTTCAACAGTCGCGCTATAATTCTCAACGAACTTCTCACGTGCTCGACTTCAACAATACTCAGTTCAATTACACACTCTCTGACTGCAGTTCAATTACTCATTACCTTGTTCGGTCACGTTGTGAGCGTCTTATATATACCAGTCTACCCCCAATCTAGTAGTCTCCCGATAATTCATGAAGGTTCGAGAAGGGCGTGGCGTGATACTAGTCACGTGACTTCGCTGACGCAACAGAGAGATTAAGGCTATTTAGTTAGTTTATAAGTTTTCATTCTGAACTATAGGCTAAGGCTACCCTATATATATATTGAATCCTTTACGAATGAAGGAGAGGTTGAAACTACTTAGTTTCATTCCGAAGAAGAGGCTGAAACTACTTAGTTTATATGTTTCAGGATACTATTTGCACAAATAAAAATGGGATAAAATTCGAGTGATAGATTAATCAAATTGTTTGCCTTCGAAGTCTGGTAGAGATCATTAGAATAGTATGAATAACAACATAGAATCCCCCATGAATGACATATGAGGTCAGGCCTTGTGGACTCAAGCCTAATTTGGTTGAGTTTATGTATTGTTTATAGTACAAAAGCTACACAATGACCTACATTTTCTCTATCCATCACGAGGAATTCAATCCCGGATTTGAGCAGTTGGGGAAAGTTTGTTTGAGATTGGTCAAAAATTATAGTCGTAATATGCGGACACACAAAAAAAAGATAACGACAACCTGCGAGGGAATAACGAAGCCTTCACAAGCCTTTCTAATACTAGCGAAAAAACACATTACACTACCTCTATCGCAGGACACTTCCTCACATAAAATTCACTATCTAATATGTCAACATCGAGGGTGCACTTGCTTCCAATAATAACAGACTAAGAATACCAGGACACTCTGTAATAAGAAACGATAGAAGTAATACAAATGATAACAACCAGAAAATGGCATTACTGTATAACTGGGCTTTATCAGTGGGCGATTTAAAACTTACAACTACAAACGAATGTACAACCATAGCTATATATTTAGCCAACAATACTGTTACGACAGCGGAGGTCACGTGACGCTAGTAACACGGTACGCGCTTCTAGAACGTTCATGAAGCGTCGGGAGACTACTGATTTGGGGTAGTCTTGTATACATAAGACCGGCCAAGAAGCAACGGGAAC